GCAGCAGGGAAGTGCTTGTTACGTTGTATAGTATTTGGGATTTTGGCTTTATAGACGTTGCTGCTTTAACTGACTGATAAGACGTCTGTGTTTATGTATAAAGCCAGGAACAATTTATTAACTGGTGGAATTCAAAAACTATTTAGTGAAAGGGAAGGGGGATACAATTTAAGGGGTCAGTTAAATTTAAAAATTCATGCTATACGTACAACCAAAAAAAGATTTTGTATTTCCATAAGTGGGGTAAAACTATGGAATAATTTAAGTGTAGACATAAAAAATAGTAATAGAATTGACGAGTTTAAACATAAATATAAAGGTATGTGTCAATCAAGATATATGCAAGAACAGGCTTAATGATTAATTAGATGGAACATTGTGGGTGTGGTGTATGAATGTTAACACTTTGTAATAATTCTTTAGTATATTACTTGTGTGGTGTAGAAGAGAATTATTTACTGCTTGCAAACCAATGATGGTAAGATGATGTCAGGGGGTAGGACTGGATAAGTCTGACTTCTTCCTACTCCATTCAAGCATGTACTAGGTATAAGCAAATTGATATTAGATTAGCATTTGTTGGATATGTGTAAAATTATGTGTGTTGATATATCAATTGTCTTTACATGCTTGAAAGAATAAATAAATCAAATCAAATCAAATCCTGTTAACGGTGACCCTTAACTCCTTTTGTTTGTTGTTTTACGCTGAGAGGTGGAGATAAGATGGTTTGTAGTAATAGTACTTGGTCTTACAAAAACACAGAACAAACAAGCATCACTAGCCACAGAAACCTCTGAACTGCTCTTAGGCTGAGGGCTGGCAGTTTTTTCACTGTCACTTCTTGTTATTCTGGGTTAAATGGGGCCAAATTCAAAACCCATCCACCCAACCAGAGCCGCAGCACCTGTATTTTCTCTTTGCTTTCCAGTAGTTTCACACTTAACTGAGATCAGCGGAGGATCTCAGAGAGCTAAAGCTGTCCCTGCTCTGACAGCTTATTCATTTATAAGCTCACAGCTTCCTATCCTGCCTCCTTCCTTTGTGTAGGGTATAACATGACAAAATCATTCTCACTCTCACAAGCCTCAGTCTGTAACTTCAGATTGTTTTAATCCCTGGGTTAAAAAAAGTGTCTTTCATTTAATAAATCACTCCCTCAGAACTCTGGATCCCTGTGTAATTATTCCTGTGATGTGACCGTAAGCCAGTCGTAAGACGAGCACTTGACGAGAAGCCGCTCGTGCATTAAGTATTCCTAAGCCTCCTCCAGTCTCCTCCATAAAACTAATGGCAGGGGCCTTCCTTCGATTTCTCTAAATATCCTATACAGAATATCAAGGGACTGGCTGCTGTGACCTGATTTGGACTCATGTGGACAGTCAGCAGGTCAGCATCCGTCAAACCCAAGCTTGACTTCTCAGCAGCTGAGCCACCTGGGATTTGGTCTAACAACCCAGAACATGTGCATGAAGAAGGGGGGTACCTGCTGAGCAGGTTCACTCAACATGTTTAGGGTCCCTCTGTGAGCAACTTTCACACTCTATTTTTTACTTAGTGCTGTAATAGCAACCAACCCTTCTATCCATTGTTTCTAGTTTCCCGAACAGGCTGGAGACCATTTGCATTTAAGAGAGGTGGGAATGTGCACTTACACTCTGCTTTTGACTCTGATAAAGCACATGCTGTGAACATAGACACACATAAAAAAGCAGGTCTCCTAGGTGTGTTACTTCATGTGCTTTTCCTTTAATAGAAACCAGTCTGTCTTCTGGTCATGCTTTTACTGTCCACAACAAGTAAGAACGTACAGTTGTGCTTCTATGAAGGAATCTGCACAGATACACACAAATACAAGCAAATTTAAATACAAACTCACCAAAGAACATGCTGCTCTCCATAGCTCCTCAGGCGTGGGGGTCTGCTGTTTGTCCTCTCTGGTGCCCTGCCAGTGTGTGTGTGTCCATGGACAGCAGCTTGGGCATGTCTCATACACTCCTCAGGGCTGTGTGTGTCTGTCAATGTGTGTTCAGTCCAACAGCAGCATCAGTGACCAGTCTGCATGCTGCACTCTGCACGCAGCTGCTGTCTGTGCACCTCCATATCTGCCTCTCTCTCCCTCTCTCGCCACGTACTGGTCCTCCCTTGCCTCTCTCGTCCACTCCCCTCCTCTTTAGCTCTTCCCCTCCCTCCCTCCCTCCCTCCCTCCTCCTCCTCCTCCCTGGCCCCTACAACACACAGTCGATCCCTTCGCTTCTTTCTTTTCTCTCTCCGAGGTGTCTGTCAACATTCTCCAGAAACAGCCCCTTATACCCCACCTCTCTCTCTATAGGTGTCTCATCTTTGTTTTATGTGTCAACCAGCCTCTCTCGCTCACTTACGCTCCTTGCTTTTTAGCGCTGTCTTTCCTTTATTTGATCTTATTCGCCTTCTCCTGCTTCTGTCTCCATCTGATTCCTTTTTCTCTATTCTGCCTGTTCTTCGCTCTCCCTTGGTTTTTCTCATTTTTATCTCTGTCTCTCTGTGTCCACCTCTGTAAACATCTTCTGCAGTGTTGGTTTTTTGCTTATCTCTCTCTGCCTTTCTTCATTTACTTTTTTTCTTTTGGTTCTTATCATTTTCTCCTTTTTACTCAACTCGTTTACATGCATACAAAATCAAAACACAACCGGTTGCTGGGAGAAATCATGTTATGAGCTGAGCAATACTGTATACAGGAAGGAGACCATGAAAGTCCAGGATAAGAATCTCACAGAACCATTTCAGTCACTGAGGTGTTTGTGAAATTACAATAGCAATGTGTGGTAGGAAATCTGCTTGTAAAGCTACAGTAATCAATAATTTTATAACATAGCCTTTGGCCTGCTGTATCCTAATCAGTACTACACAACAGACAAAGTTAGCAACAAGCTAGTGAATATATGCCTATTTCTATCAGGAATTAGAGAGGACCAAAACAAAGATAAAAAGAGTACAAATATTAGGACTTACACTTGCAAGATGAAATTAAACAGGGGTCCAGATGGATGATAATGTTGCTCCATATCTGATAGATGTGTAAATAGACCACTCTTTGCTAAAAAAATGTTTTGATCTATCAATTCTATGAAAAGATAATATGTCAGTGTGTATTAAACTTCCCCGAAGTGGTCAAAAAATAAGGTTGACAAAAGCAACAGGTGGATGCAAAGTGATAAAAAACATTATTTATTGCAATAGATGTACTCTGATTTCTCTCCTCTTTCCAACTTTATTTTGGAACCATGGCTGATATACAGTAATTCAAGTTTTAGCAGTACAGGATGTTGCGATGCTTCACCAGTTATTTTTTTCTTTTGTGTGTGTATGTTGGAGCATTAGAACTGGCAGCACAGCGAGAGAGGACAGACTCAGTACTGAAAAAGCACACAGTGAATTTTACATAGTCCACTGTTAAACCCGACTGATATTTAGAGAGACAGTTTTGTGTTAGTTTGAAATGTAGCCAGACTTGGAATTAAATTATTTTGAAATAAGGATGCATTGCTGCATGATCTTTCTTTTCATCCTGCCGCTCTGCTGTCACATTGATTCAGAAATGTAGTGGGCTAATCAGGTGTCTCTAATCAGCCAGTTATGGAAACCAGATTTCTTGTTTACACAGCTTTAAAGCAATCCAATTACTGCAAAAAGTAGACAGTAACAGTTAAGTTCATGTCAGTGTACTGACTGATTCTGTCTTCTTTTGTCTTTCTCTCCCTCCTTTTTTACACTTCCTTTTCACCCTTTGTTGATGACACCCACTCCTTAGTTTTCTCTCCACTGCTCACAGACTCTTTTCCAGCCTGCCTTTTTCATTGTAGTTTGCTCCCTTCTGTCTTGTTTTGCTTCCACTTATTCTCTCGCTCTCTCTTCTCGTGATTTGTTTTTTCCTTCTCTGGCTGGTTTGTAATCAGACTCAACAGGAGCTGATATCAGCTGCTGCTTCTGCAGCCATGAGACACTGCTGCTGCTTCCCTCTGTCTGTGGTCCTCAAACACACGCAAACCTAACACAGGCACACAAGATACACAGACCATACACATACTACACACACTCACAAATACAGATGCACACATGAAGACTGGCTCAACAAGAGATAAGCAAACAGGCTGCACTAATACACACACACACATGCACAGAGGAACAGATAAACACCCGCTCTCTTAAATACTAAAATATGTGCAAAAGACATGCATACTAAAATAAACACAATCAAAATATGCTCAACACATTTGAAAATACTCACATAGGCAATATGCAAACAATCCCACAGTATATACACACACAGCTCTTGACACACATTCACCTCATGGAGATCTGCCCTGACCTTAACCTCACCCTAACCTTAAACCAAGCTGTCACCCTAAGGGAAGTCCTCACAATATGAGTATGTAAACAGGTTTCTATGAGAGGCCGTTTAGGCCACAATTCATACTGTCTCACACAGACACAACTATACTCTTACACACACACTGACACCCACTCATACGGAAACATTAACAGCTGCACAGCACATAGACAAAAATTATACAGTTGCATTCACACATGTCCTCTATTATATAAAAATAACAGTATAGTATAATAATATGAAAAGATTTTTAAGAAATATGGGGAGCAGGTAAGAAAAGTTCTATAAGAAGGACAAGAAAATTCATTTTTCACCACAGTGTTTGACAGTAGTTGAAGGAAGAGAGAGAAGGAGAGACGCTGCAAACACTAGAGCGACAGAACATTGGCCTGGTGTGTCATGGGCCTGGTGTGTTGACCCGGAAATCTACATGCTCTCATTGTTCTGTTATGTTTTACCGCTGCACTACACAGGTGCACAACAGTCGTTCATTTCTTGAGTCAATGACACTTCTCAAAATATGCCAGTTAGCCAAAAGTAGTCCCTCAGTATATACAAAAAAAAAATCTAAATACTTTCAATGGCAAAAATATGCTATAATGCTATAAATACTAGCATGTAATAAAATGTTCTCTGTGTTTTTGTGGTTTAAATTCTGGTATTTTTGTAACATTCTATTAAAGAAATCTGGAAGGTGCACCGGGATTGTCAGCTTTACCTGATTTTTGTTCGAAGCAGCCATGTTTATGTAGCTTGATTAGAAAACAACTCTGCCTCTGTTTCCCGAGGGAATAAATTATTGCAGTTGATTATTACTGGGTTGTCAGTGGATAGTCCTGCAGCATCACTTTTTATTTTAAAGAATCTGCTTCTTCCTCTCCTAACTGATAGTTAAACATGCATTGAGATGTGCTTCTCATGAAAAAATGTGCTGACAAAGGTTAAAAAAAAGCCTATTGCATATTTGCACCTGTGTTTCTGTACAGATGTGGTGTGTTCCTAATGATGGAGGTTTAACTGTTCCCAAGGGTCTGAGGAGAATAATCCCTGTGTGTGTTTGTGTATTTGTCTCTATCAAGGTGTGTGTGTGCTGTGGGTCGGTATTCCTGTATGTACTTAACCTCCGCCTGGCTTTTACCTGGATCACACACACTCACTCGGACTGGCCCACTGTAATGCTGCTGAAGGTCAGACAGAATTGACCATTCCATCGACTGCAAATGAGACACTTTTCTTGGTCTGCCTGAACACACACACACAGATATCTATCCAGTCTGTCAGTGACATCATCAGCTGTCTCCTCCAGAGAGAAAATAAATAAATAAATAAATACGGAATAATTCTGCATAGCACAGATGCTTTCAATTAATTGTGAATCCCCATTCTCCCTGTCCACCCCCGCCCACTGAACCCAGTTGCAGTAAATAAGTCCATTCAAACGGCAGCTCTCTTTCTCCACACCTCCGTCTTTGTCCTCCCTCCTCCCTTCCACCTTCCATTTCTTTATCCCTGTTCCCCATCCTGTTGTCCAGCTGCGGCGATGTGTTTTTTAACCTTGACTCTAAAGTGTCGGTGGCAGAATGGGGCATTATTTGTCACCATAAATAGCAGCTAAGCAGCGGCGGTAGCCCTGCAGGAAAAGCCCCAGTGCGCCGCATGCGAGTGCAGCCTGGGATAGTTCATTAATCTTGCTGTCACTTCCATGACGCTTTTCATTAGTTATAGGGCTATCTGATCAACAGGCAGACTCTCAACCTTTCAAAGCAGTCCCTGGCAGCCGAGGAAGGCAAGAGGGAGGCAAGAGGGAGAATAGAAGTTGGACCTTTGTGATGAGACAGAGAAAAGAGAGAAATTAGAGTTCAAGAGAACGTCTGGTTGTTTTGGCCTCTTACAAACCAAAGTCTTGGGGGAGGTTGACCCATGTGGTGCCACAGGAAAGCCAGCTGACTCTTTAACAGAAACATTATGTGATGCACTGTTTAGTTAGTGAATTATTCTCCTCAAGGAGGACAGTAATCTGTGTATCTGCTACTTATTATAATTTGTTTGTTTGGAAGATCCAACTTAAAATGTTTTTTTTTTTAATTTGCAATCTTAAAAAAAAAACAATCAGGGGGTTGAAATAATTCCACCTATTTAAAAAAACTTTAGTTAAAGGTCAAATTCTTGATATTTTAATGACATTAAATCAAACCTAGTTTTAGCACTTCTGTGTATTTACATTCTGTGATTTACCTTTTATTTAGTAGTTTTTGTTGTTAGTGGCTCAGATGCTGGATTCAGTTTGTTTTTACACGTGCGAGGGATTCAGAGGAAATTATCCATACCTGCTGTTTGTAACTCTGTGCCCTGGATACTGTAAGTACCTCACTGTTTACTGTTACCTGAGCTGTATTAATTACTGCTAATGTAAACCCAACATGCTGCTGCTTCTACACCTATAGCTTTTGTCGGGATTAAATGGTCATGGCATGCATAAATAGACAGAAGGTGTGTGTCTGTGGTAGTAATGAAGGTATGTCTTTGTTAAAATTAATCCTCTGAGGAAAGTGTAACTGAACAGTGAGCGACTTTACCGGCTGCCTGTAACATGACTGATCGCGATGTCTGCAGGTTTTTGCTATTTATCGTGGCTCGTGACCTGTTTTTTTGTGTTATTTTGTACAGCTATGTGTAATGATTTTACCCAGATTTGGGGTTTGTTCATCTGCTCATCACTCCCCTGGTTTGGTCCTAGAAAAGGCTGCACAAGTTGCTC